CGATTGAGAGACAGAGCTCACAAAATCGTTATAAAACATACAACCTGTTTTAGTTGTCGTTCGTCTTCTTCTCTGTAGGCAAGGGACACCCTGGAGATAAAGTTCATTTACTTCTTTCCATGGGAGATCAATATGTGCACAAATCCAAGTATAATTTCTATGTGCTAACTCTGGAATTATTCTGTATGTGACTCGTCTAAGGACGTTGGTCATCAGGAGGAAAATGTATGGAGTTCGGACACTCTTTATGTCTGTCGATGAACTCCCCGAATTCTGTCAAATTTCCTCTATATCTGCTGATTTTCGACCAATTATCGGCTAGAAACTCTTTCATGAGAACGGATGAAAGGGGAATGAATGAGTGGTAAACATTTCCCATCTGAGCGGGATTTTAACCAGATAAGGGAAAGTCAGAGGATGTTCTAACTTCTGTGAAAGGAAGTAGCATCTGTTATCTGTTTTTTTCCACGTTTAAAACATTATTTTCTCACCAAAAATGAATTAATATTTGGTGACAATATTTAATATTATTAATAAATTAACTGGTTTAGACCCAGGGGCCTTACAGGTCTCACAATATTCCTATCATGCAATTTGTAAAAAATGCCGAAAAAATCTCACATTTGACACCTGCAATATAAAGAAATCGAATTGCATTTAATTTCCATTGTACATAAAATATACATTACGTGTTCATTGCAATATTTAACAATAGACACTATGTAGTTACTTGAGAGGCGTAAAAAATTATAACAATTAATAGAATTGTTCCAATGAAACATGTGATAAAAGTCGGAATTTCAATTTTATTTTACTGATTTATTTGATATTTATCATCTTATATAATACAGAAACTAATATTCATCACCGAATTTCCGACATCATTCGTTTCAAAGCCTTGTCAGATTAATTATTTTCCGGACCATCAGTGACCACATGTAATAATAATTCATCAACATGCCTCCAACCCACAAATTAGACACTTCCCACGTGTCCAAAATTATATCGTGGGCTACTACAAACTCAATGTAAATAATGTAAATGAAATACATGTACAGTATCTTAAAACCACACCCTTTTTTGATTCTCATTCGGATATAGTTTTCTGTATGATTTGAGTGAGAGTTTCTTGGATGAGGACTTTGTCAAGTCGGTTATTTATATATTAATATATATGTTACTGTAAAAGACCAAAATTAGAGAATGTCGATATTCTCCGGTAAATGTCGACACATACAAAATACGTTGGTAAAAGACTAAATATCTGCTTATATTATTATACATTCGAAGAATCGCCGGTGTATGTCGACAAGCATAGATAAGCTTTGGTGGAGGTCGAAACGACACCCGAGAAGCCGATGTCGACAGAGAGGCGACAGTCTGTTCTTCGCCGTTTCCTTCTGCTTGGTTATACCGTACGAATATAAGCCCCTAATGTCGACCGTGGCCGTACAGATGCCCGAAATGTGTTGGCGGTGGTTGTTGGAATAGAAGACTCCGACTTTTATAAATTAGCAAACAAAAATGGTACCCTCACGCAGCTTTATATCCGTAATTAGTTTATGATTTGTAAAGAAAAGTTACTTTCCATAGATGAGATTTCTTCTCAAGAAATATCGCTGAGAGAAGCAGCTGCAGCTAATTCGAAAAGTGAAGGGCAAGGCTATACACGCTGTCATTACAAAAAGAAGTGTTCCACGAATAAATGCAGCTGTAAAAGCAAGGTACTCTTCTGCAATTAAATTCAAAATGTCACAACAGTTTAAATTATTTCAATAAATAAGATTCTATAACGTTAATCACATAATTTATGTGTAAGTTTATTATTTAATTATTTTCTTTTCTGATTAAGAATGTACTGTTCGTTTTAGGTTCAACAGTTTATTTATATGTGCTGTTACATAAGCTTTCTCCTATTTTGACATATTAAAAAGTTGCATTTTTGTCTTAACGTAATAAAAAAATATTTTTATTCAACATTCACGATCAGTGCATGCTGAATGTCGACATTTGCCGGCGTAAGTGAGAAACAATGATATTTAGCAAATATTTCGTACCTACATGAAACGACTGTGTGAATGCTGACATTCACCGGAGAATGTTGACATTCGCCAAATATCCGTCATTCACAGTAACATATATACTTCAAGAACACAATAAANTGTGAATGCTGACATTCACCGGAGAATGTTGACATTCGCCAAATATCCGTCATTCACAGTAACATATATATATTTTAAAACTAATATTTATTTAAATTTTATATTCTAATATATAAGATACTATTTTCTGATTGGTGCCATCTGTCGACGAAATTATTATTATTATTATTTAGATATTTAAAAAATAACGAATAGTCTGTACCTATAGACTTATCCAACGCGAATTGGAATGTGCTAGTTGTTATTTTACGTTTTATCTATTTTTACGCTATTTTTACACGAACTAATTAAAAATCAATTGGTGCTTAATCAGCATTAAATGCATGCTGGCGGGTTAAAAGTTAATACGAAATTTTGACTTAGCCTTTGATGTTGAGAAACATGATCCCAGTTTAAGCGATCATGATATTGAGTCAAAAAGTTTTCTGTTAGCTGTTGATAATGGCAAACATAATCCTAATTAATTCGATGAACATACTTTTGTAAAAAATCAGAGGAGTAACGTCTGCTTTTCGACATTTTATCTAATTTAATTTATGTTGGAAGTCGTTCATAAATTCATTACTAAGATTTTTTACAGAAATAATAACCCAATCAATGTTATCTTGAAGTCGTATTATTACTTCTGTCAAATTTAATCTAGGGAATTCTTTCCAATCAAAATTTGAATGTAGACTTCGCGAGTTAGCATGCCTACATTTCTGAGATCCATTACAATATGAAATGATCGAATTATTTTCATCTTCTTTCTCCGATATTAATACAGTAGACTCCCCCCTATAGTACGGTAGATACGTTCCTTTTTATATGAATTTCATGTTGTATGAGCCGTTAAATCACAATCACGAGGCAATCACAGCCCGGCACTTGTGCAGTTTAGGGACTACAACTGTTTGAAAGGTTTTCTTCCATAAAATTAATCGATTCTTGACTAATTTGACTCAACATTTCCAAAACACGCATAATTTTTCGAGAATAATTCGTATAAACTATTCTATAAACAAAAAATTGTAGGATTACTTACCGAGTGTGCACCGTTCGACGATGCCATTGCTTAAGCCTGTTTTCCTCGCGGAGCGGCAGGCGCGTTTTTTGATAAGTTATTTTTCTGCGAATAATTCGCTGCACTTCGGAGACGTCATTAATAGAAATAATTTCTATGGCCCTTGAATAAGAAAGGTTTCTTTTACAAGAAATGTATAAAATTACAGTACTTATTAGGCTTACGGTACCTAATTTACATACTGTACAGACGATAGCTCGCCTAAACTCTTCGTAGAAAGTATATATATATAATTATAATAAAGTAACAATAAATTAAGTTAATATATAATTATATATACAGTACCTAATTTATATATACTTTATATGTAATTATATGTACAGATGATAGTAAACTCAATTTACCCGCCTAAACTGTCCGTAGCGTGGCGCTGGACTGCGGAAAGTAGTTCGGCTGCCCGATGACGTTTTACGTAATTATAGAAGTTTTTTTTACCGTTGTTTACGGATACCACCACAATTTTTCGCCGTCTTATAGGAATCGTAATTATAAGAACTTGTCTTATAGAAGGATCTACTGTATATTTTCTGCTCTTAGAATTTTTTTCCATGGCAGAGGTCATGATGACTAAAGACGAAATTTTAGAAAACGTAAAAATTATAAAATTACAGTACTCTATTAGACTTACAATACCTAATTTATATACTGTACAGACAATAGTAAACTAAACTTACCCGCCTAAATTCTCTGTAGCATGGCGCTGGACGGCGGAAAGTAGTTCGGCTGCTCGTCCACTATTGGTCCAAATTCGACCAATCATATCGCGACACGAGTCGGCGATGACGTTTTACCGAATTATACGAAATTCTCTCAGCGTGTTTATACGAATACGGTCGCAATTTTTTCGCTGTGATCTACGAATCCGAATTATATGAACCCGTTTTATAGGGGTCTACTGTATGAAAAATAATTAATTTTACTGATTGTCTTGCTTTTATGATGCAATTGACTAGATTTCTTTGTTTTTGCTTATAAACTCATTTTAAGTCAATTAACTTAAAATATTATTTACAATTAATACTTTTTTATTATTAAACAAAACAAGACACGAAATTTTCGACAAATGTATTTTATTAGTTTTTACATTCGTATTCAAAATACATTTTCGGTATATTATTTTAAGGCTCACATCTTAGATTATTTTTTTCAGAATCAGCCAAACATTAATTAAAATTGCTGAATGTTTTGCTAAACTCCGATGCAATTTGTACGTCTTTCTTGACCACCGGCGTGAGAATACGCCTTCGCGTACACAGCAATTTTTAATGTTAATGTTTACTTAAACATAAAAAATAATTGAAACTAAAAAAAAATCGGACGTTAACACCACTTTCCTGTAAGCCTAGAAGTTTGACAATGGCGTTTGAAACGTCGAGCATGATTTTACTGATGTTCCAAACACCATTGTCAAACTTCTAGGCTTACAGAAAAGTGGCGCTGAACGTCGGACGTACAGTACATGTTTTCGCGTTGAAAACGTCAACTGCAACCTCTCTATTAACTGGAGTTAATTTTAAGAAAAATAAGCTAAAAATTTCGCAGATTGTTGTACCACCACTAAAAAGAGAAGTGCATATAATATAAATAAGGCTACACACAATGCCAAATGTGGCTGCCCAATAAACTAGTCTGGTGTCCAGAGAATTGTTTGTTATTTCTAGTAATATTTTCCGGATTAAAGGAAAAGATATACGAACAGTTGCCGGAAGTTCGATGGTGTACATGTAATAATAAAGAAAAAAAATGTGTACGTTTATTATTTTGTCACAATGTAGTTTGCAGATATTATGGCAGAACCTATTGCACTATCTAACAAGACATTTCAACGTGTGGACTTCTCAACAGTCTCGGATGTCGAACCAATTCATTTCTATATGAAACGGCACAAAAAGAAACTCACTTGGCAATCAGTCCTGAATCCGTTCACAAAACAGGTAAAAATTTCTTGATAAGTTATATAGAATTTCTTAAAGTGGGTGTGAAAATTATTTCCTGTAAAACGTATTATTTACTTTTCCTTGTTGTTCTATGAAAGGTTTGGTTGGCCTTGATCTTTACAATTACAATCTTTGGATTAATATTCCGGAAATTCGTGACAGACAATAAAGGGGAACCTTGGACTTTAAGAAGAACGTACTGGTATCTAATGACAACGTTAATGTATCAAGGTAAATGTATACAATATACACTGTTTTTTAATTTATAAAAGTGAATTATAATTTTTGGCGTTAATTTTCAGGAGTCGACAGCAACAACGTGAATCGTTTATCTTCTAGAATAGCATTTGGCATCTGGTTGCTCATGACAGCAGTCTTGATCTGGGGTTACGCAGGAATATTGACGTCATTTATGGCCGTACAGACTGACGAACCGGTTCCGAACACATTCGATGAATTAGCAGAAGCCATTAAAAGACAAGAATATACATGTGTAGTGCTTCCGCATGCTTACATAAATCGATACTTAAAGGTAAATAGTACATTTAAACATTCCACTATTTCATTTTTACATTGTTTATTTTGACTGATATAAATTTATTGGGCTACAATTAGAAAAAATTGTTGACCTATAAATTCCCATTGTCGTCATCTGTCTATCTTTCTTTAATCTCGAGAATGGAGTTAGATAGATGAAATCCGACACCAAATATGGGAACCGTTGGGGCAGGAGGCCCCGATTTACCGTATATGAACTTCCAATGCAAAATCACGTTATATTACCCAAAGATTTTCCCCTTAAGAAGTTAAATATAATAATGTCATGACTGTTGCTAACTGGAAAAATATGATGTACTAGAGCTTGCCAATAGGGAAAAGACACTTTTAATTTGAGGTGGAAAGCATATATTTTAAATTAAAATTTTCAAATATGATTAACTCCTTGAGACTTTATCAACTTTTGATATTAATGTAATTAAACATAAAAAATACTTAAAACTGAAAAAAACGAAAGAAATGCGTTAATTTTGAAGAAAAAGCTTCAAATTTTATTTTTCATTGTCTCGCCTTTCTGTGAAATCTTATACATATGAGTCATTGTGTTTACAGCTAAATGACCTTGAGAACAGCTGGTGTTGGATTTCCCGGGACATTCTCATAGAAGCCTCGTGAGGCGAAGAATTTATAGTAGGGTTAATACTAGCTGGNAATAAAATTAATTTAATTCAAATTTATAAAAACATTTAATAATTAATACAGCCTTATTGTTACAAGATATTTTATTCATTTTTTGTGATTAAAATCTATTGTGTCTTTTGTGACTTAAATAAATTTTCATCTGGCGAAATTCTACAAACAAAACTTTTTTAGAAGTAATTCGTCACCAGAGGAATAAGGCCAAAATTTACATTTAACAGTGCATTTATCAAGTGAATATCAGGACTGAAATTTCCTAACTGGAAAGGAGGCCCCACCAGTGGGCGAGTGGTCTCCGTTGCCGCTCATTGCGGTGACCAGACCTAAACACTGGAAAGTTCGGTCGTGGGTTCGCGCCGCGATCGGACAGGCTGGCTGCAAAGAGTTTTCCGGGCTTTCTCCTTGCCAATAACGACTGAATAGGAGGCCAGTTCCCCATAAAAGTCCTCCCAGTAAGTATTATTTCCCGCGCGCGCATATAGGTCGTTCGGATACGGCTGGCTCTTCGGTCGCATAGCGATCATAACCAAATGTTTGTCGGAGAAAGAGCTTATATGAGCTAAAATCTCCATATCAACATCTGAGAACAAGAGAGAACTGGAAAGGATGCAAGTTCAAGACGTCTGTATAACCGCCAGTTCCAACTCTTTACTTTTAATGTTTTAATTGGATATTTTTGTGTTTTTTTAACTTTTCAGCACGTGCCTAGTGCCGATTAGGCGCCAATCGATTTTTAATTGATTCGTGTAAAAATTCTAATTGTGTGAAAAATCTGAAAAATTATTACCTGTCTAATTTTTCTTCAATTTTACGATGCGCAATTCAGTTTTTGCTTAAAGCGTCTCATTATTTTTATTTAATTATTGGTGCCGAATCGGCACTATGGCGCGCGTGATCTCGGATTTCAATTTTCAAATTTCCCGCCAGTCGCTGTTACTAAAAATAGCTGCAGCTACGGCGGGCGCTTCTTCGCTTATAATCGCGTTATTATAAAGCGAATAACTTCTAAAAAACTGAAATTTGACCGAAAATAATTTAATTTCTTTCATTGGTATTTTTTAATCATTTTATAAAGTTTTATGACACCATCACATTTCCCTGAGTGGAAGTAACCAATTTGTTAACCATTTGACCCTCGGCTGACAGAGAAGGAAGTTTTTGAAAACAAAGTAATAGAGCGTTTAGCAGTTTGTTGTTTTTCACAGTGGAAGACTAGTAAGTTTATATAATAGACTCTAGTAAGACTTA